CCTGAGGCTGAGTATCACGCATCTTAGTTACGGGCGTTGTTAGCGCGTTTGGTGACTCGTTTCTAGCATGCGAGCGGCAAGGAGGGAACAGTAGGCGTCAATCAGAAAATCGAGTCGAAAGTTGCAACTAATTCCCATCTCTGATTCACAGTATACAGCAATCGTTCGAAGAGATGCAAAGAAACAAATTTCTCACCCATTAACTAGCGTCGTAAATTTCAACAACGGTAAGTCGAGCCAACCGCACCGTCTTTTTCGCTTTGTGGTCACGCCAATTTCATGGCCTCTTTTTTGCAATAACTCTCCAGTCGAGTCAAATAGTTCTGTGGGAAACGGGCCGTCGCCGACTCTGGTGGTGTAAGCTTTCACGACGCCAATTATCTCGCCGATTGTGCTGGGAGGTAGACCGAGACCTGTCAATACGCCGCCTATACTGCAGTTTGAACTTGTCACATATGGATAAGTTCCAAAATCGATGTCCAACATAGCCGCGTTAGCGCCTTCCACCAAAACCTTTTTACCATCCTTTAAAGCTTGATGCAAATATAACACTGTCTCCTTCACGTACGGCCTTACACGTTCGGAATAGCTACAGAGAAATCATTTGTATATTAAAAACACATCTAAAATAATATAATATCGCAAGACAGACATTATACATACTCCTTGTAAAGTTCCAATTCAGCTTTAACGTCGACGTGTAAGGCGGGAAACATTTTCTGATACGATGTGACCAAAGTGTTGAACTTTTGGGAGAACTTGTCAAAGTCCCCGAGAAGATCCCCGATTCTGAGTCCATTCCTAGCGGCTTTGCTGGAATAAGTTGGTCCTATACCTTTCTTCGTAGTTCCCAACGACTGTGTACCCTTCTCTAATTCTTGCAGTCCATCGACTTGTTGGTGAAAATCGAACACTATGTGCGCCCGATCCGAAATTATAAGTCTGTCCTCCCAATTCTTGAGTCCCTTAGACTCATTCTTTTCCAGTTCTTGGAACAGACCAGGTAAGTGAATCACTACCCCATTGCCTGTGGACAAAAGAGAATCCGAATGAATAATATTAATTACATTATGCATGATTACAATGTTTTTTAATGAGATTATTTTACTGTAATATACAGAATGTATACTCTATGACATGACAGCAACAAGGATTGCATGGCAACGAAAAATAACAATACGTATTACTCCCGCTCTCGCCATGCGTTATTTTTCCGTTCACATGCTAGTCGCACAAGAGACACATGTGTTTTTCACAAGTCCAGAACGGAATATAAATATGATCAATTTTATTTGTTGAAGAAATCATTACCTATTACAGATGTACATCTGGGATTGATTATTCCACTAGGCAGAAGGTGAAAATCAAATTCGACACCATCTACAACTACAGTATGTCCAGCATTATTTCCTCCCTGTAAAATCACATTAACACTTAAAGAAATAGGGCTCGTTATTATTTATAACAGAAAATAATTGTATTATAAATTGATCATTAAATTGTAAATTAAAAAAAAAAACGTGAAGACTCTCTAAGCAACATAAGCAATAATATTAAATGCAGATATCTTAGAAACATTTATCTAGATATTTTACTTATTAGATATAAAAATTAATGTGCTGAATGCATAAATGTATCAAATTGTATTCATATCCAATTGTCTAGTATCTTTCTCTTTGATATATTTCATCATTTCTTTCATTTCACATAGATAGATATACATAGATTAATATTACATAATCCTGATTTTCTCATATTGATTAATTATTCGTAGAATATTAATTCGGTCATTAATTTTGACATATATAATGACCCTCATAAATATATTATGGATATTCAAACGAAACGTAGCGTAACGTCCTTGTAAAATAATGCGCTCAATGTTTTTATTTATCGTTTAGATTTACAGTAAAATATGTAAAAATGAATAATTTATTGCGCTTGTCGCAAGCACATGACGCACAATAGTTTTGCTTCTTTTCGGAAATACATTTCATTCACGGTCATCAATTATGTAACATTAAATACGCCAAAAGATATAGGTTATATCGCTGGCGGTGTGTTTGCAATACTCGCAGGTCAGGTGACATGCGGTTACTTCTAAAAATAAACGCGTAAAAAAAAACAGACGAGCTTTCCGTATTTCCGCTATCGCGAATGTAGTCATTAGTTCGTTATTCGCGAACTAGCAACGCCGAATATTTCTTTCAGGAATAATTTGTTCTGCGAAATCACATGACTTTCGACAGCGTAATCAATGCATTATTTATCGCTAAACATTTATCGATGCGAAAATTTGAAATATCATAGCTGCTCTCTGGAGCTCAAGTAAATATGGATTTTTCTTTGATACTCTGTGCCAAAAATTTTTGGCAAGCTGATTTATAGAGACGCGAACGAGCCTGACTTCCCAAGAGAACATACCTGACACCTGCAAACTACGTCGGCGTCCATCGCCAGCAGATCCACGACCTTTCCCTTGCCCTCATCGCCCCATTGCGCGCCCAGGACCACTGTGACCTTCGATATAGGACGGCCACTCGTGGACATCCGTTGTTTCTTCCTTGGCGACGCCAAGGCGCCGTTGCCGTTCGCGTGCTGTTGTGCTTGCTGCTGCATTCTCGTGCACGCGGACATACGACAGCAATATATCGATGGCGACGCGCACTACGGAACGTGAAACGTCTGTGAGGAATGCTGATTTCAACGAACACGAAACTTCCTGCTTAGCAGAGAACAGCTGACGCGATGGAAATCGGTCGGAAGGATCGCCGCGAGCCGCCCCCTTTTCATCACTTCATCGCGTGTCTCCGCAGTTCCCTCGTACTCTCCTCCCTTCGTCAGTCCCCTCTCCGCGCTGTGAAACCTAACCTACCTGATTGAAGCTGATTTCGATTGGATCGAACTCGATTCGCGCTTCGTCGGCTTCGAAACACGCGCAACCGCTTTTCCCCTGAAAATGCTGAATTTTGTCCCCTCAAATCTGCTTGGGATATCACGGAAATAACAAGATTGACAATTGCACATACTTTAACCTTGAAGTTGATCGTCCTCGGTTTCCATGCGAACCATAAGATGGAACGCGCACGTGACGCGTCGCCTGGGAAACTCGTTTCGCTTCTCATTCAATGTTCGTTCGAATTCTCGGCCTTCGTCAACGACGAAGTATTCGCGGGTTTATTTCAGTTGCATGATGCAATTATGGAGTAATAGTCACCGTCTGACGTACAATCATGCTGACGAAACTAGACGAAACAAAGATCGTCTGCGCGGCGACGAAAGCGATAATTTAAACGATAAGCTATCGCGTGCAGCGCGGTCTATATTTATAGATATATGAATTATCTTCATTTACTCTCTGCGTAAAGAAACAGATGTATCCTTTCGTCGCATTATTCAAGTTACCAACAAGAACCTTGCCAGAGTTTTGTCTGAAAATAAATCAATCGACTTGAAGCAAAAATAGTACACTAAAGCAGAAGTTTTTTGTTTGAATTATTCGAGTATACGTTTAGTTCGAAAGAAATTATTTGACATTCAATTTTGAAAATTAAACTATTCAAATATTTGAAGAAAAAAAAAAAACCTTTTGAGTGCTAATAAAAAAACAAACACCAGATAAAAATATAGAAAAACAATAGACCGCTCGTATCATTTAACATGTGAGTGCGCACAGGAAGCTCGTATGTCGGCAAAATAACAATGCCGGGGCCGTGCGCCGTTCAATATTTACATCGCCAAGATGGATATATTACCGGATTAGATGACCCCCGTGGCTTTTTAATTATACAAGCCTCAGTGCGCCGGAACATCTGCCCTATAGAAAGCGGGGCTCTCGAGCCCTGCGTCGCGGCCGGTGATCCGTTCCCTCGCTACAGAGTATCAATTACATTGTTATTACCGGGGAGTAGCCGAAGATGCGGTCACAGATAATGCACTGGTATAAGAGCATGCACAACAATGGGACAGGTACATGTGTATACACGGCCGTTAACCGAAGCGTAGACCCCGGTCGTGCGAGCAACGCGATAGCCATCACGCGCGCAACTATGCGTCTAATTTGGATTTGCCGCAAAGAGGATGCGCCTCGCGAAAAAACGAGGGTTACACGGTCCCCGTCGGTCCCCGGGGGCCACTCGTGCCCGGGAAGACCGCGTATACGCGTATATATATATAGCGAAGGGTTCGCCTTTCGGGAAGTTTAGTTGAAACATTCGGGATGATGACGAGCGGAGAAGCGCGAGGCTCGCGGATGAGGAACACGGATTTCAGCATAGCCCGTATACTGGCGGACGATCGTTGTTCCAAAGCGCGAACGGCTGCCGAGCGGAACGTCCGGGATGTCGCGCGAAAACGGCCGAGGTACACTTTTTCGGATCAAGAGAGAAACGAGGAACGAATACCGAGACACGACGAAGGAAGACGGATGGAGTACGTTAATCGCGGCGTTTCGAGTGAAACGTGCCAAGACATATCCGTCGCCGCGGAACGAAACGGCGATAATAATAACGAGTCCGCGATGCGGAGAACCGATCTCACGTGGCTTCAATATACTCGGTACAGGCCGCCGAAGTTACCTAGAAGATCCTTCGTCGAGAAGCGGATCAAGCGGCGAACCGGTGATCATCCTCGCATCCCGTTTTCTTCGTCGCAATTACAAGTGTTGGAGGACAGATACAGAAAGAGCGCTTATCTGTCCAGAAACGACGTCATCGAGATGTCCGCAACGTTACGACTGCCGCAGAGCAAAGTACAGCCAGTAATCTTTTCTCTGATATTACTGTGACGAAATAATTGTGTTAATAAATCGATTTAAGTATATAATAATTATGAAAAAAGGGTTATGTTGTTTTTCTTGACGCTCAGAGTGTTTGAATTTAAAAGTTCGTGCAGCATGAATCTCCGTAGATAAAACAAATTTTTATTTTACCTGCAAAAATACAATGAATTTCTGTTTATCTATAGAAGATAAAAAAAAAGATTGATCTCTAAAGAGTAATTTTAGATCGAAAGTGTAATGTGAGAATTATCAAAATAATTTTTTGTACTTGTAGATAAAGATCTGGTTTCAAAATCGTCGAGCGAGACAAAGACGCGAATTACTGAATTCCACGATAGTGACAACGTAACGACGAGATAATGATGGAGCCTTGCAAGAATTTTGAAATCTAAATCGAAGAGGCTCAACGTGTGCAAGATCTGACTCGTAATTATTCTAAGTGATCTGACTTTTGATATTTATTTTATGACTCTTTTTGTACAAATAAATTTAACTAACCTAACCTATAATTTTGGCATGTACAGTTATTTTATACCCAATCATAAATTGCATACACGAATACTATTGTTAATGTAAAATTATTAAAAATTCTGTGTTTTACCTTTTAATAAGTGGAAACTTATCGCATCCAAGATGTAAAGCCTTCCCCTGTAAATCACCGAATGCAGAACAAACATTTTATGATCCACTCTTGATAATAAAAGTCCCGCGTCGTAATGGAATTTTTGTCGCGCACATGTAAAATGGAAAAGTATTTACGTCATTTACGTCGTATATTTCCTGCAATAAAGTATATGTCGAAAAAAATTGATAAGAAAGTTCTCTCTCGAAGAAACAAGTGATGGAAAATTTTTCAAAAAGTTTAATTTTAAACGTCGATTTACTTTTTTATTTGTCCTAAGTATAAAGTTTCGCGCTTCTCACCATTTAGTACCATATAATTTACATAGCGAATTCGAAGTCAGCCACATAATTCGAATATCTACCGCGTGAAGTCGCCAGAAGCTGCTTTCGTCATCGCGTTGATATTTGCCGCTCTCTCGTTCCGTCTCAACACCGGCTCTACGGTTCTCGCGTGTATGTGTATCATATTTAATTTATATATGGTACGCAGGTTTGAGCGATAATCTTTTCTGTCATAATAGTTACGAGTTACCGTTTTAACACAACGGACGAGGCTAATAATGCCGCTGCAAGTTCACGACGTTCAGGTAATTAGCTATTTGTAATTGAGCACGTGTAATTCCTCGTCGAGGAATCTCTCTTTATGAGCGATTTAAACTGTGGGGTTATGCGCGGCCGTTCACGTTCAGATTTCTTTGTCGTTTGTAATCTATTTCGATTTAAATGTCTCTAAACAAAAACGACGATCGGTTGATATTGTGACATGCATTCCTTTCTGCAGCAAAATGTCGTGGAGCCAATGCAGGTTGATGCTCCTACAGAGGATAATGATAATGCTGAGGAAGAACCGTATATAGTAGAAAATCCGACGCTGGTATGTTTACATAAATTTTGTTTAACATAAAGGTCCCTCTCACCAGTGAAACGTGTGTGGATGTTACTTTGATTTATTCTTATATTCTATCTATTATATTACAATCCTTCTCCTTCAGGATTTGGAAGTATACGCCAATAGTTACACCGGACTTGCAAAACTCTATAGACTTATATATATCGCCGATCATTGTCCATCGTTAAGAATAGAAGCGTTAAAAATGGCAATTACCTATGTGATGACTACATACAATGTGTCACTTTACATAATACTGCACAAAAAGCTTGTACAAGCCATGGGTACTCCTGGATTACCAGATGTAGCGGCACAGTCAACCTCTCAGGATGTGCTGACAATGGATCAGACATGGGTGGAGACTCGATCTAAAAAAGCTGCTCTTAAATTAGAAAAGTATGATACCGACTTAAAAAATTACAAGAGCAATTCGATTAAGGAAAGCATAAGAAGAGGTCACGACGATTTGGGAGATCACTATTTAAATTGCGGCGATCTCGTTCACGCTCTAAAATGTTATTCCAGAGCACGAGATTATTGTACTAGCGGCAAGCACGTTGTGAATATGTGTTTGAACGTCATCAAAGTTTCTGTTTATTTACAAAACTGGTCCCATGTACTTAGTTACGTCACCAAGGCTGAGAGTACACCAGACTTCCCCGAGTTGCATGGTAAAGACAACAATCAAGCGATAATCACGAAGTTAAAAGTGGCAGCTGGTTTGGCAGAATTGGCAACAAGAAAGTATAAAATGGCTGCGAAACATTTTCTACAAGCGTCCTTAGATCATTGCGATTGTCCCGAATTATTGTCTCCTGGAAATGTGGCTCTCTACGGAGGACTCTGTGCTTTAGCTACCTTCGACAGACACGAACTGCAAAAACAAGTTATATTTAGTAGTTCCTTCAAATTATTTTTAGAATTAGAACCGCAACTGCGAGATATAATTTTCAAATTTTACGAATCAAAATACGCATCCTGTTTGAAATTGCTTGATGAGATAAAAGATAACATCCTCTTGGATATGTATATAGCACCTCACGTAAATCTGTTGTATACACAAATTCGGAATAGGGCATTGATACAATACTTTAGTCCATATTTAAGCGCGGACATGAGAAGAATGGCGACTGCGTTCAATAGAACTGTATCTGAATTAGAAGACGAACTTATGCAGCTTATTCTCGATGGACAGATTCAGGCTCGTATAGATTCGCACAACAAGGTAAGAATTACTTGTGAACTTAATGCATAATACGTTATTGCAGTAATATTTATATATTTTCTTTCACACAAATTTTCAAAGTATAATATCTGGACATATTGGAAAATATGTGAAATTAACTAATATAAATATTGTTGTAGATTCTGTATGCAAAGGATGTTGATCAACGTAGCACTACCTTTGAGAAGTCCATGACCGTTGGAAAAGATTATCAGAGGCGTACTCGTATGTTGATCTTAAGGGCTGCAATGTTGAAACAGCAAATTCATGTAAAGGTAAAAACTATAATTGAAGGAAATATTAAAAAAATTATAAATTTTTTGCAATATTAATTGTGTAAGCTTGCTGAAAAATATCTTGTTTACTTTTCTGCTTGAAAACGTATTGTTTATTTTTACAGAGTCCTCAGCGCGACAGTACGCAAGGAGGGGAAATGTCGGTGGCGCCTGGAAATGGTACCTTAGCAGCGAAAAATTGAAATTGCATGAATGTTGATATTTCGTTGGAAGAAAACAAAAAATTTATATACGCGTGTCAACTGCCACGACCACCTAGGTATGATATAAGATTTCACTACTACATTTCGACATTGTGTTGCGTCTCAGAAGCCAATGTCCTGTACCTCATTTTCACCATATAATATATGACATGTATATAATATCGCCACATTGTGTTTACTTTAAACAACGTTATCTTAGCTGTAATGGTTATACTTTTAAAGCAATCATAAAAAAAAAAAAGAGGAAAGTGTGTAACATAGATCCAATTTTTTTTGACTAATTAACACCCTAATATGTTTTCTTTTACAACAAATAAATTGTAAATTTTAAGTTCCTCTGTATACGAGCGATGCGACCGAACCTAAGACTTTAACATACTCTGCTGGGATTTACTTAGAATAATAATAAATAAATTCATTGCATTAAATGTGCAAATCTACTATCCTTACAATCCATTCTTTCTGTATCCTTGTTCAGAAGAAAAAGGGTAAGATAACTCTGACCTAATATATTTTTCATTAAAATGAGAAGTGACAAAATTAAACAGATTATTTCAGATTTTGCAAACGTATTGCTGATTACATTAATTTGATAATTAATTAGATTTATCACATACTGCAAAATTGAACAAAATTTTCGAGTATAAAAGAATTTATGTTAAATAAACTTTAGACCTGAAGGTTTATTCAGATTATCTTGCATGATGCACAGAAAAATCGGACAGTCATGCGTTTGTATAAAGAATGCATCAATACAATGCCTTTTACACTGTGTGTTTCACAAATAAATAAACAATCAATTTCTCCGAGTGTATACATTACGCGATTATGCAAGTTGTATACGTAGATCTTAATGAACATATTCAGCCTGTCAATCCGGAAGTGCTACTTCAGAGGGGAAAGCATAGATGACGTTGAGTGTGCAAGCACACTTCTGATCGATATGGATGGTGGCTATGTCCGGAGTTTTGTCACAGTGCGAGAATAAACAAATTAAGTGAGCTCTTTGATGAGCCGATGTCTGATTAAGAGGATTCGCTGCCGTGCATTTTCGTTTTCGACTGATCGACACCGCGAAGTCCGCTATTTTCGCGTGATCACCGTCTTAGGACCGGATGTGTCGTCATGCCGTGTTGGCCAAGTCCGAGTATCATGACAGATTTCATACGTTAATATTCTAACCACTTAAGTGAAGTATATATTTTACGCGAGAACGTGAACAAGAAAACGTCCGAAAATGGTTTTGGCAGATCTCGGACGTAAAATTACGTCGGCCTTGCGATCGCTCAGTAATGCAACCGTCATCAATGAAGAAGTAAGTTTGTTTATTAATATTTCCAACGTGTATGGTGGAATACTCAAAGACGCGGTTTGTAAACAATAAGTGAAAGTGTCATAATCTTATAGTTTTGCGTACATATTTTATTTTATTTCTTTATTTTAGTATCGTATTGCTCTTTGTGCTTTTTGAAATTTATAAATATCTCTAGTAACCTCCTTGTAAATGTCAAACTTATGTTTACACCATTACTTGGATTACCTATTTTAAGATATGAGATATGGCATAATAATGTAGCAGGTATTACAAATAAAAAAAATTTTTTTTTTAAATTATTTTTTTAATTAATTTTGTTTTTACATGCCATTGTTCTTTATATATTGTAAATTCTTGTCTTGTTAATATTTAATTATATCTCTATATGTTTGCATGTCATTGATAAAGGCTTTTCCAACAGGTTTTAAATTCTATGCTAAAAGAGATTTGCGCAGCATTACTGGAAGCTGATGTAAATATTAGATTAGTGAAAAAATTACGAGAAAATGTGCGCCAAGTTATCGATTTTGAAGATATGGCTGGTGGTCTTAATAAAAGGCGGATGATACAGAGTGCTGTCTTCAAAGAACTTGTGAAGGTTAATATATAAATATATAAAAAGAGTTTATAAGAATACTAAATAATTTTTCGCATTTAATTATGTGACTACAATTGATGATTTTTTTAGTTGATTGATCCTGGCGTTAAAGCATACCAACCAGTAAAAGGCCGTCCTAATGTGATTATGTTTGTGGGCTTGCAAGGTTCTGGTAAAACAACTACTTGTACGAAACTTGCGTATCATTATCTTAAAAAAAATTGGAAGGCATGTTTAGTTTGCGCTGATACTTTTCGTGCCGGTGCATATGATCAGATAAAACAGAATGCTACAAAAGCTAGAATACCATTTTACGGAAGGTAAATAATTAAAAAAATGTTTATTGCATCTTGCAATCACTTGCATATTATTTGATGTTTTAACATGATGACACGTGCTAATGTATAACAATTTTTAATTTTAGTTATACAGAAGTGGATCCTGTAGCAATTGCACAAGATGGCGTTGAGATGTTCAAGAAAGAAGGATATGAAATAATTATTGTAGATACCAGTGGAAGACATAAACAGGAAGAATCATTATTCGAAGAAATGTTGCAAGTCGCCAATGCTGTGGTAAATTTATATCACTTTTTTATTCAAACGTTTAAAAAAAAAAAACAATTTTCAATACCAAATTTTTAACGTGTTATAGCAACCAGACAATATAATCTTCGTAATGGATGCAACAATAGGTCAAGCTTGCGAAGCACAGGCGAAAGCTTTTAAACAACGCGTTAATGTCGGTTCTATCATAATTACAAAACTGGATGGCCATGCCAAAGGTGGTGGAGCACTTTCTGCGTGAGTTTTCTTTTCAATTTCTAGTTTACTAATTTTATGTATTATCACAATATATATTTGTACAAAATAGAAAATTTAAAGTTGTTTCTTATTGCAGATATTAAAGTGCTTTGTACAACGTGGATAATAAGTGATAATTATATTTATAACATATTAATTTTTCAGTGTTGCAGCAACACAAAGTCCTGTAATATTCGTTGGTACAGGAGAACATATAGACGATCTAGAACCATTCAAAACAAAACCGTTCATTAGCAAATTGCTAGGTATGGGAGACATTGAAGGTCTCATCGATAAAGTAAATGAACTCAATCTGGACGATAACGAAGAATTGCTTGAAAAAATCAAACACGGTCAATTTACCTTACGAGATATGTACGAACAGTTCCAAAATATTATGAAAATGGGACCATTTTCGCAATTAATGGTAAATATCACCATCACGCGCGTCCGCAGGAAGATTCACATGTGTTTCAAAGAAATTCAGAAGAAAATTTAGGTCGTGTAAAATGTATTGATACTTTATAATTCGTGCTAAAGTTTTATTTTTTGTAGGGCATGATTCCTGGATTTAGCCAAGATTTCATGTCGAAAGGGACAGAGCAGGAATCAATGGCAAGATTAAAACGACTCATGACCATAATGGATTCTATGAATGATTCAGGTTTGTTATTATGTAAAATGTTTCTGTTCTTTTTTTTTTTCTACCTTTGCGAACAATATTTATTACTATTCATTTTAGAGCTGGATAGCAGAGACGGAGCTAAACTGTTTAGCAAGCAACCCGGAAGAATAATCAGAGTGGCGAGAGGCTCGGGTGTAACAGAAAAGGAAGTTAAAGATTTAATAACACAATATACAAAGTTCGCGGCAGTCGTGAAGAAAATGGGAGGCATAAAGGGCTTGTTTAAAGCGGGAGATATGGCGAAAAACGTTAATCCTACACAAATGGCGAAGCTGAATCATCAAATGGCTAAAATGATGGATCCCCGTGTGTTACATCAAATGGGTGAGACTAATTTTACATAATTGAGAATTTATTAATAAGTTAAAAAATACCTGCATTTTTATACCGAAAGTTCTTTACAAATTTTCACATTTTATTTTTAGTCATAGGTCCCGTTTCTAAAAATGGAGGCTACATTTCATTACACATTTTATGCATTCTATATTTCTTAATTTATTTAACATTTCTCGAACTCTTAATCGCTTTTTACAGAGAAGAAATATTTTCCATATTTTAGGTGGTATGCCAGGATTGCAAAATATAATGAAACAATTACAACAGGGCGCGACAGGTGGTTTGGGAAATTTAATGGGGGGCTTCGGTGGAAAATCCTGAGACGAGGCTTCCGGCAGTGCAGCCACTGCCGTTAAAGCCGTTAGAGACGTTAGATACCGTTACATACAACTCTCGAGAAAATTAAACCGTACTTGAATTATGAGTACTGAAGAATTTGTGTTTGAACCACTTTCTTTTCAGTGAATATTTTATAATTAATGATATTATGAAAACTAAATATGTAATGGCAGAAATTAATAGCAAATTCTTCAACATCTTTCTAATTGCTCATCAGATCATTAAAAAAAAAAAAACTACCTTTCGATGTAAATGCAATAAATTATCAAGATACGCTACGAAATGTGTGTCATAATGAAAATATTAATTTATTTCGATATTATTTTTATAGTCCTCTTATCTGCCCTTGTATTGTGAATCTTGCCGAGCAACGTTTATTTTTGAACGACCTTGTTACTTGCTGTTCATTTTTTACGATTAAATGATGTAACTCTATTTACGGAAGAAGAGATACCTGCTGTACAGGATGTTCGGAAAAGAACTCCGGAGTTACATATTAACAACTCCGAAGTATCTTTTTTTTCTGCGACTTAAATGCGATTGTGTGACATGATAGAAGTACAGGATGTCCGAAAAAGATTTTTGGAATTCTTTTTCAGATTTCCTGCATTTCTATCATATTACACAATCGTACTTAAGATAACAGAAAGAAATTAATGTAACCATTTGTTGAATGTTGTTATTACCACAATCAAGTAATAGCAATGCAATTAAAATGATTATCAATGTAAGCATTCATACAGGAAAAAGATATGTATATTTTGTTATAAAAAAATACAAATAAAAATTGGCAACTTTATTGTTTTTAAATTCAGGACAAAATAATTTTATGCATTTTGTACTTTATTGAAAAAACGGGATTAGTTAAAACACTTTAATATCGATTTTATACTCGTTCTCCATATTTATGCAGTACCTGACGAAAGACATTGGACTACTTTCGTCGAGAATTTGAAACCTTTATTCTAAAACAGATGACAAATCTTACACATGCTTACAATCTTGGATTATATGGCACGTTTTTGTCTTGTTTTGAACTAGTTACATTTTTAAATGTCCCCTTTTCTACCTAACTCACGATATTATCTCCGGCGCTATTCACTCGCGAAATGTATGAAGAATCGATAACAACGTAAAAAACATGTTGTGTTTAGGTACAATATATAATACAACGCGCATGTATAAATATCTTTGATTTCACTCAACCAGGTACAAGTGCTATACTAAATATGTAGCATATTATACTGTGCTTCGAATATCTTAGCAACTTATTTGTAGAAAAAATCTTTGAATAACTGAGGTAGAGCACATATTCAGGAATGCGGCGGAATGCGTTATTTCATTGCAAAAACGCTCTCGGAATAAAAATGGATGGATGGCATTGCTTCGTGTTTAAAGGATTACGGTTCTAAACGTGTTACTTGTCCGAATCCTTAAATAATACTTTCGTGACGATACGCGTCAGAGGGAATGTTTCGTTTGCACCGTAACAAGTGCCGTTCCAATCGTCCACGTTTAAAGAGAGAATCATCGCTCCTTTGAAACCATTCGTACGAATCCACTCGCTCTGAAACACAAATGTTTCAAGCAAGCTTGCGTCACGATAGAGATTTCGCGCTAATAAAAGTAAGATACGATACCTTGTAATAGACGCTCTCCTCGTTGTCGTAAGATATCCATTCTCTGCCTTTAAACGCATACGGCACGCGACTTTCTTTATTAAAGACACTCCCAGCTCCGGATTTAATAAATTGACAAGTCGTAGAATAACGCACGAAGCCTTGGTCGCCAAGCTTTCCGATTCCGCTCGCGGGAGCTTGCAGATTGTGATTCAACGGGTTGTCCAGCATGTAAGAGTGACCGTAAGCTGGTATGCCAACGACGATCTTCTCCCGTGGCATTCCCTTCGCTATCCAGTATTGAGCAGAGAAATTCACATTTAAAGTGGACAGATAACCCGTTTCTGTGCTACGAGGAAAGAGCGGGGCGTTCAAATCCGTGACTGGGAAGTACCAAACGTAAAAGTGATAGTCGTACGACATCAGATTTATAAAGTCGACGTGTCTGAAAAGGTTAGCAATTTGTAAACATTCTAGAAAAAAAAAAAACATCTTACTATTATTAAATTCTTTTATAGCGCATACTCTGCCATTTCAGGAACACTATAACTTTGATCCACAATGGCCTGTGGTGCCGCAACTGCTACTGTTAAAATTAAATTCTGTCCGCTATGATCAAATTCCTTCCGCAATTCTTGTAACAGTTGCGCGAAATGTATCTTCTCACGCTCGTCGGCTCCCAACCATGCTGGAAACTCCCAGTCGACGTCGAAACCGTCCAAATGGAAAGTTTTAATTACATTTAATACTGATTGTATAAATCTGAAAAAAGATATATTCTTATGTAATATATAACGCACAGTATTGAAAAGCAGTAGACATACCTTTTTCTATTCGCATGATTTTTCACCATCTCGGAGAAGCCATCGTGGAGCTCAGTATTTCCGCCGGCGCTGATCATGACCTTCAGTCTAGGTTCGCGATTTTTTAAAGCAACTACTCGCTCGTATATCCACCCGTTGTCGCCGATATCGAGCGTGCAGTTCACCACGCTCGCAAAACCCACGATAATATGCGTACAAAGATGAGGGTCAATGTGCGACGGACTGAGCTCCCACGACGTGTTCAGGTTCCCCGGTATTGTGTAGTAGCAAACGATGACCTGGCTAGATGTGAAACAGACATTTTCAGACAACAAAGATTTATTCGAGCCATATTTCGACATTTAAAAACTTCCTCACCCGGTGGTATTGCGGTGGTATTGTTCCGTTGCACTGACACTTGTGTTCCTGTCCGCATTCTGATTCTCCTTCGCCGACTCGGCGTACATCCGAGCCCGACGTAGCCACGCAGCGCTCGCGGCATTGTCAGTCTGTGCCTCCGCAAACCGATCAACCTTCGGTGCCTTCAGGATACTGAGTATGCCGAACCAACCGCGCAGAATGAATAGAAAGCCGACGATCAGGAATGTCAGGGCGAGACAGACGACTTGTGTTCTCCAGCGCGGTCTGGAAGGGAGATTCACTTCGTAACACCACGTACGCACGCAAGATGCGAATTAATGATGCGAGTGTGCAGTCGAGAGGATGCGCATGCATGTGAGAAACTGTCAGTCTGGAACGTCGCGTCTATGCAAATAACCAAGGCGATCATCGATTAATTGTCGTGACCTTTCCTGCCGGGAGGCGTGGAAGTTCAAAACGCTGGCAATGACGTATAAGAAATCGATACATAAATTTCTCTCTCTCTCTCTCTCGCCCTGCTCTTTTCTCACAGACGATACGCATCAAAGGATATGTTTACAAAAAAAAAAAAACACTATGCATGACAAGTCATTTTCACGTGGAAAGATTTGACATACTCACTGTCGTGTGTCAGTTAATAATTCATATTTGGCCTGCGGCACAGCTATGTGGTTAACCATTGAATGATTTATTATTATTACTGTGTTGCCGAGCGCACCGAATTCTTTTCGAAAAACGAGACCTCAAACTCGGTCGAGCAATTCTGTACCGTCGCTGACAACTGTCGGTCTTTGATAAACGAGCACAAATCGACGACCCAAAGACAATGTTTGTATACACAATACGAGATTACGTGCCGATTACGTGTCCATGCAAGTAGCAGCGATAGAGCTTCCGTCTGTTTACGATTGCATAAGTACGAGATGGGTGTGTTCCATCGCGATCTGCCGAATATACGGTCCACAACGATCGCGATCGATCGACGCATGCATGTGTGTTGCACCGATGCAATGATATGTCAAAATCTCATTCTTTTTTCAACGAATCACCAATTGGTTCGCCGAAACCTAGATGGCATGTCGGGTGTAATCTTGAGGTGGAAGTCTGTTCTGTATTTTAGCTGCATTTGAAATAAAATTCTTCACGAGCCAATCGGTTTATTTGGCAAATATGAAAGGTAAAGACTCTTTAAAAAATAATTGAATGACTAGCGTTTAAAAAATGAATCTGATTGATAAATTAAAGAGACGGAATAACAATCATGCGTAATTCTTACTTAATTATTATGGCATTGTTGTATTATTCTACAGTAATGTACACGGAAAAATTGCTTGCAACGAGATTAATATATTGATATATATTAAATACACATTGATATTCATTTAAAAATATAAT